CTTTCTCATGATCATCCTTACCCCATGAGGCGAGATCTTGCACGGAGCTCCAGACCAAAGCCGATTGATGGTTATTTTGTATTTCTTCCATTTCCGAATAATCGCACCAACAGTTGTCTCCTTCTCACCAAGATTCTTGCTGATGGTCTTGTAGCCCATTCCAGCCTTGTGCAGATCTACAGTCTTGTCTCTGACATCCTTTGACAGCTCTTTGTTCTTGCCCATGGTGGTGGGAGAGGTTGGAATGGAAGATACAGATTGTGTGGACAGGTGTCTTATACACCTAACGAGCTGGCATTAGGAGTAACTTCTTAAAGTGGCAGGACTAATCTGTGTTCCACATGGGCACATAACCAATCTGTGGGAGCCAGAATTCTTGCTGGTTGGTAGGGGATCAAATACTTATTTCACTCACTGAAATACAAATCAATTTCTAACCTTTATTAGTGTTTTTTCTGGATTTTTTGGTCGGTATTCTGTCTCTATCCATTAAAATAAACCTACCATAAAAATGACAGACCCTTCATTTCTTTGTAAGTGGGAAAACTTATAAAATCAGCAGGGGATCAAATAAATATTTCCCCACTGTACTTGCGGGGTTCAATAGAATCAAACTTATTGACAGCAGTTTTGTCTCATGGAGCAATTTGTTGGGTTATCTTCATTCCATCTTAGTCCAAGATAAATTGTAGATAGGTAGTGTCACACACATTTCACTAGGCTGCTTGCAACCCTTAAAATAAAATCTGTAACACAAGATCAAATGAAAATCTGTTTTGGTCTCACGACAGAGAGGTTCTTCGGAGAACTGGCCCTCTGACTGAGCCTAGTTTCTCCCAAGGCTTTTTTCTCCATTTCTGTCACTGATGGAGTTTTGTTTCCTTGCCACTCTCGCCTTTGGCTTGCTTAGTTGGCGACACTTAATTTTTGTCAATATTGTTGGCTTGATTCCAAAGACACTATTGGAAGAGAACTGAACTGAGCTGGACGATTATATCACTGACTGTTTACTATTGTCCTCTTTTTAGAGCTGCTCCACAGCAGAATTGAATTTTGTTTGCATTATTGACACAGTATTTTCCCGTTTAACAATGTAAAGCTGCTTTGACACAATCTGTATTGTATAAAGCGCTATATAAATAAAGGTGAAAAAAAAAAATAAGGGGGAAAATAGGCCCTCAATTAAGTTAGATTTTTGGCCATTTGTAGTAAAAAGTTTGGGCACCTAGAATGAACCCAGGACTTTCCTTTCATGCTCTAGACTCACATGGTGGTCATGTCTCCCATCTTTTCCATTTCTTTCCATGTCTCTGGATCCACTCCACTGTAGATGCCATTGTTGTTGATTACTATGATGATGATTGGCAGTTTATACCTATTCAGAAGTGCAGAATGGTTATAGTGGCACAAAGCAAAAAGAACCAGTTTAATATTATGCACACCTCACAAATGCCCCATAGGTGGAGCTGTAGGTGGATGTTTCATTTACCTGCATATGGTCTCCACCTCCATGCCAGAGAAACCGAAGGCGCTGTCTCCCTCTATACACACCACTCTCTGAGTGCTCTTCTGCGTCTGCTCCAAAACTGCTGCTGCGATGGCAAATCCTGGACCCACCCCCATAGTGCCAAAAGTACCAGCATCTAATCTGTATAGGACATTCAGGTTACTGCTCTGGACAACATCACGCAAGTAGAACTCAATGTTTAACAGAATTTTCTAGTTTTAGCATCTGAACTATGGTACTGAACATTCTTTAAATGTCTCTCACCTGTGTCGTGGGAGGTAATTGAGCAGCATGGTGCGGCCAATGTCCATAGTATTCGCTCCCTCACTCACTATGATGCAGTCTTTGGGCAGGAGCTCAGAAATGTGGTGGAACGCTGTGTAATAGTTCATGGGCAGAGTGGACTGGAGAGCAAGACTCTGTGGGAAACAATAATAATGGTTTATTTAGTACCATAAATGTTAAACACGCAGTTCATGTGTTTATTGAAAACAGCTAATGCTATTTTATTATATCAAGTAAGCTAATGACACACAAGCTCACCTTTGATATCTGAGCATTGGCAGTCATTTTCTCCTTCAGTGTCAACCACCATTCTGAATCAGAAGGAAATCTCCAGGAATCGGATCTTATAGTTTCCAACAGCTTCAAACAGTGTAGAAAACATATATGAGGGGTCATTTCATATAAAACATAATTCTCCATAACTTTTAGAAGATTTATTTACATTAAACCATAAAAATCAGCTCATAAAAGAGATGAAAATGAAAATTCTGTCATTACCCTCACGTTGTTCCAAACCTTTATGAATCTCTTTCAGCTGTTGATCACAAATGAAGACATTCTGAAGAATGTTGGTAACCAAACTGTTGACGGTACCCATTGATTTCCACAGTATGGGAAACGTCACTTGTGTGATAGTTCATTTATGTATTTTTGGAGCCTAGGTGTACCGACTTTTTTCTGTTTTCATTATCAATATCATTTTTGTCGATCACCCCATTTTTAGAGTTTTTTCAGTGATATGCATGTTTTTGCTTCCATAGTATGGAAAAAAAATGACTATAAAGGTCAACTGTCTGGTTACCAACATTCTTCAAAATATCTTCTTTTGTGTTCAGAAGAAGAAAGAAATTCATACAGGTTTGGAACAAGTGGAGGGTGAGTAAATGATGACAGAATTTTAATTTTTTGGTGAACTAACATACATACATTCAGTATTCTGTAACAGGGTCTGAGGTTAAGAGGTTAGCCAATCAAAACAAAGATCATTAACATAGAAAAGCCTTAAAGATACAGTAAAATGTAGATTTAATGTAAATTTAAAATGAATGTAAATGATACATTTTGGCAAACTACACTTGATAACATTATAAGAGCAACTAAAAGAGAACAAATGCTACAAAACATACTGGATTTCAATAGGTTAGGAGTCTCTCACAGAGTCCATAGAACATACAGAATATCATGATGCAGATAAAGTGTGTAAAACAAAACAAAAAAAACATTGTGTTTTATGTAAGATGATGACTGAGGATATACTGTAGTTTACCTGTCTGACCACAGCTCGTATGTCTCCGAGAAGAGCAGATGCAGCTCTCACATTATTACTCAACTCTTCAGCACACAGATCCACCTGAACAAATTTACACAACATACCACACTGAAGATGAACGGAAGATCATTTAGTCATTTATAGCAAGTCTTTATTGCAAAGGTGCGGAAACTTACTAAGTGTCCAGGGTGTAACTAACCTGAATGATCTTCACATGGGGACTGAATCTGGGTGGAAAACCAAAGTGCAGGATCCAGTTGAGTCTGGCACCCAGCAACACTATAACATCAGCCTGCAATAAAGCTCTATAGCAGAGAGAGAAATGCATCACAGCAGTCCATCAAAAAGAGATTTTGGAAAGATCATTTAGATTCATATGCACACCTGGACCTGGCTGCAGCAACACAGTTAGGGTGGTCATCCGGCAGTACTCCTTTCCCCATAGGTGTGGGAAGGAAAGGGATCCCAGTCACCTCCACCAGCTCCCTGACCTCCGTCTCTGCCCTGGCATACGCCGCACCTGCAGCAGATCACAGTTCAACATTGTTTTGATCAGTTTCAGCAGTGAAGATGCCCTTCACTCAAATAGTTCTATTCTGTTCACCTTTGCCGACGATGATCAGAGGCCTCCGAGCCGCTTTGAGCAGCCTGACAGCCTGTGTGATCTCCCTGCTGTCAGCCTGACTCACAGGAGGAGCAGGACAGCAGGAAACAAACCTAGAGAAAAATGAAGAAACATGCAATGCCATTTTTCACATTTCAGTATGCAAAAGAAACTAATGATCAATAAGTGATCACAATCACATCATAAAATACAGCTGGTTAGGAAGCTCCCCATTACTACGGTTCGTGCTTAAGTCTACATAAAACTCACCTGACACTGGCCCGGTCTATTTTGGCATTCACCATGTCTCCAGCTATGTCTATGTAGGACGCTCCTGGACGGCCATAAATGCTGCTCCTTACAGCCTGACAAAAACACAAACATTCCAACTAAAATATAAGGAATTAAATCTAATTTAAAAGATTAATAAAAACTATAACAGCATCTTAAATGACATTGCATAGTACATAGTATATTTGGCCTACATTAGAAACATCCTTTTTTAAGACTTCATTAAATTTTGTCAAACAAATCAGTGTTATTTCACTATTATTAATTTACTTTTTTATATTTTGAATTAGCTTCTATTTTTACATGTTCAGTTTTAATTTAAATTACAGTTTAAGTTTGAGTAATTTTTTGTGCTTCACTTTTTTCTTAGTTTTATTTCATCTTTAAAAAAAACAAAAAAAAAAACAATTACTATATATATAAAACTCTATTTCTATTTAGATTTAATTTACTTTTAAGTTTTTTTTTTAATTTAAGCTTTTCATCTAATATTTACATATTTTATGAATTCTACTATATATATATATATTTTTTTTTATACTTTATTTCAATAATGAATATGTTTTTTTAGTGAACAAAAACAACAGTGAAACAATTTGTCTTTGAACATAACTAACATCACAGAGCTCAGCCTTTACTTAACATCACAGTATGGCCAAACGGCCAAATTTGTACATCTCTTTAAACAAGATGAGTCATCTATATTTTTTCCTGTAAGAGAAACAATTCAAATTTTCATTTTAAATGTATAAATATGCTAAAAATTTAAATTTCTAATATGTATATCTGCTAAAAGTTTAGCATTTTTTGTCAACTACCTTACAGATGGCCTCAAAGCTGACAGACATGGCCTATGAGCCACAAAACTCAAATTTTGAATTCATAGGGACTTAAAAGAGATTAAATATTTACTTTTTCAACTACGGCTGGTATCATCTCAAGGCTGCTTGGTCGAGCAGAAAACTTGCTATACAGACGACAAGCTTCAACCTGGTGAGGAAAAAGTAAAATGATGAACAAGAGGTGAGAAACAAGAAAGTGGTTAAGAGACACTAGAAAAATAAATACAGATTATTGTTGGTGTTTTCGTTGCTTGAATTATAAAAAAATACATGTTTGAATCTTAATTTGAATTTAAACATTTTTGAATGTGTTGCTTTAAAGGATCGATTTATTCAAAGCCAAACATTTCCTATTAACCCTACCTGAGGAAACTCCTGAAATGCTCCTGTGGTTTCTTGGTTCCTATCAGATGAGCCACCAATGACAATGACAGGCCTGTGAATTTAAACAAGAGAAGAAAAGTACATTTGAATTCAATTCCATTTGATCTTAAGTGAATTCAGCAGTGTAGAGCTACCAGCAGTTCATGTTAGCATTGGCCATTCCTCCAAGCGCATGAATCAGCCCAGGTCCAGACACAACCAGGCACACAGCTGGCCTGGCAAAAGAAATGTAACTTCAGCACAAAAGTAGCACAAAAAAGTAATACTGAGAAACTAACTGACATATTCGTACCATCCTGTCAAATACCCAATAGCAGATGCAGCATAGCAGGCCTGTTAGGAGAGAGAAGATGCATGGAAAACACACCCAGACTGTCTTCAGTGTAATGAAACGGGGCCAAAATTTTAAATAAAAGTGGAAAGTGAGACTATCTTACTGCTTGTTCATTGCGCATACCAACATACTTGATGCCAGCTGCTTGGGCGGCCATGGCCACCTCGATGATAGGCACGCCAACAATGCCAAACATGTGCTCCACATTCTGCACATGGAGTGGAATATAAGTAAAGACATAGCTAATAGACATACTAATATGTTGAATATTAATTTTAATATTAAAATTAATTTCTAGTAATCTAATATTTACACCAAAGGTTTTCAAACTGGGGCCTGGGGACCCCCAGAAAAAAAGAGAGTGCTAGGGGGTCCATGTGAATTTTTTATATGAAAACAAATTAATAAATAATTTCATAAAATAGTAAATAAATCAATACAATGATTAAAAATAATACTTTTGATTAAAATTATTAATAATTAATTCATTTTAAATAAATTGATTAAAACATTTTGATTTAAATGAATAAACACATCTAACAGTACGACACTATTGTAAATAAAAAAATGTAATGATGTTAAAGAAACGAAGTATTTTCCAAATAATTACACATTTATGTAATATTCATTTTTAACTGTATTAATGTCCCTCGCACGAAGATGATCACATTTAGGAGTCCTTAGCATCTGAAAGATTGAAAACCCATGGTTTTGGTTACATATTTAGTCAAGTTGTTACAGATTTTGTTAATTTTTGAACGACATGTTTTGACAGCTCTGGTGCGCATGCGCAGCACCTTTGACACACTGTCCAAGTTCAATAGTACAGCAGGCGATGTGCTCATCATGTTGCAAAGAATTCAATAGTAAGACTGTAAATACACGTTTATTCTTGATTAAGTGCTAGAGGACAAAGGGTTTTGAAAGGCTTTGCAAGACTATTTCAAAATATGCAGGAGAAACTTTGAGAACCCAGAAAAGAAGCATACGGCAACACAACACAGACCTGAGATTTGAGCGCCTCAGCGATCAGCTGAGCTCCAGTCACTTCAGCCATAATCATTTCACTCATATACACACATATCAGACTGCTCTTCTGTCCTCCTGCTGCTCTTCTTATGTTTGTGTGGAGTTAAAATAAAATGAAAGCTCATGTCTCCACCTACTGGATAAACTGGATGTCACTACTATAATTTTGTAGCACTCCCATGATGCAGGTTCATTCATTCATTCATTCATTTATTTATTTACTTATTTATTTATTATTTTTTTACGAGTATAGGTGCCATTTACAGTTGCTTATAATTATGTATTGCTATTGTTATTGATTTTGAAATCAATTTCAAAATTCATAGATATGTGATTTAATTGCAATTCAAAATTTGTTGAAATGATTATTTTTACATTTATTTTTTTAAATTAACATGTAACAACATGGACAATGTGACACTAAATACTGATTCTTTGCTTATTATAAAAGTAAAAAAAAAAATGAATAAATCTATTATTCCTCCTTTACAGGTTTATGTTTGAAAAAAGGAAAGAAAAGAAAAACACATGGTTATATTTCTCCCATTTAGTGTTTCTCTTCATTGGTATACTATATACTTTAGCTTTCTTTCAAATTTTGCTCATCAATATGAAATTTCCCTCGCCAGTTTATTGATAACATGGTCAAACAAGGTCAATTTATTCCTGAGAGTATTAGAAACCATGGTTTTGGATATAGTGTTCATTACTTTTATTTTAATCTAATTTATTTGAATATTTATACAGAAATCATCAGCATTTAATAAAGATAAATATATTTTTCAATCATTTATTTTAAGTACTTTGTTTGTGAGAATCTACACTCCTGAACAAAATCTCATTTTCATTCCACTGTTTTCATTCTCATATTTATTTAGTAAACAAAGAAACAACTAGAAATATTTAAACTATAGAGGAATGATACTTTGAAGTGACCAATATATTACTTACACATAAACACAATATCTATGGCATGCTTTGCTTTTATTAACTAGCTTTGAACTTTGTAAAACATTTATAACAGAAAATATTATGAATCATTTACAGCTAAACATCATAAATGTCATTGTGAAGATAGAGGTCGTGCTTGTCATAACCAGTATTTTCTATAGAATGTATTTAAACTTAGGATATTTCTTGTTGCGTTATTTTGTGTATAAATGGGGAGTATATTGTGTAAGAATGTATATGTACAGTGGTTTCCCTATGCATCGCTTTAACTTCACTCTCTCTGCCTTCAAGATATGACTGCAGGATCCGGAAAAACTGTGAAAATATTGGACAGGTAAATGACAACATGAATTTAAAGTGCACGTTATTTAAATATTTGCAATCTAAGAATAAAAGAGGAATAAATGAAGCTCAAAAAAGTTACAAATACACAGTGTCTGAGTAAATAATACACATATAATATCAAGATTCGATTCTGTCTCTGTGATCTTGTCTTTATCCTTTTGTGCCGAATTTGGACTTTTATCACAAACGTTTTTGAGACTCCAACAACATTTTAAGGCACCGGTGAATAGGGTGAAAAACTGAACAAAAAGATATCATCATACTTCCCCAGTCGATTGATTACACAACAAACTGCAAACAGGTTTTCTAAAGTGTCATGTTTTGCCATTATCTAATTAAATATGCACTAATTTGCATACATTTCCAGAATAGAAATCTGAATGCAGGATAAAGGCAGGTTCAAAACTTTTTTTTTTTTTTGACATATTATAGTTAGATGTTTTTACAAAGGGCATTTTACATATCTCTTTTTATCACTCCATAAATCAGAAAATACTGTCAACTAATTAACTGTCAATTAATTTTCACCATGTTTTAATAAAATGTTGGCAAATGATAAATGAACAAACCCTTCTATAAAAAACTTCAGAATATAGATAAGGAATAAAACTGTATGTAAGTACTACTGAAATGGAGATTTCTGGCTCAGTGTAAAAAAAACAACAACAAATTTTGAGAAAACGGCCTTTAAAGATATATTTTAATTTAAATCTACAGATGCAAATAGATAAAGTGCAATAAAACAAACACTTTAAAAAACAGTATTTTGGATGTTTTCTGTCCACTAGTCTGAAACAACTCATTATGAAATGCCAAATAGCCCCAAATTGGTCAGTGGCGGAAAATGTATTTTGTTTTGTTTTTTTTTGCTTATAATGTTGCCTTGAACACATGAAAAATATTCCTAATATAAAACACAATTCCTAATATAAATCAAATATAACTCTCACACTTGCCTATTTTGAATAAAAATCATCCAGAAAGATCAACTGCTGTGTGACTCACCAGGGTCCTGCTCTGTGGGTTACTCAGAGACTTCCACTCTTCATCTGAGAGATCTGACTCAACCGAGACCATCAGCAGAGTCATCAGAGTCAATACTGTCAACCTGGACGCGAAACACAAACACAGAGACATTACAGTCTTCCTCAGACCACCACAACATCTTCACCTGACCGAAAGAACTCACATGTTTGCAGTGGCTGTGATTGCCGGGTCAGTTTGCAGTTGGGTCGCCTCGGTTTTCCCTAAAGCCTTCTGCCCTGGCTTTTATACACAGCATTAGAGGCATGCCATACATGAACAATTTGCACTTTCTGGTAAATTGGCATTTCCTTTTTTCTCAAAGAAAATCTGGACAGACACTGAGTGCCGCTATTGATCTAATTAACCTTATTGCGTCATCATGGCTCCCTTAGAGACATACAACTCAGAATAGCCTCTTATAATGATGGTGGTATTTATGGTTTTAACCTTTAAAGGGGCATGATGAATGTAAAAGATACCGGACATATTAAGTGAAATAAAAGAATCAAAATTGTAGGAAGTATTTTAATGAATATGGTCAAGAACGAATGTTGACAACCAATTATTATTTTACACTAATAACTAGTAGTGTGAAGGCTCAAAGGGAGACTTTTTTTTTATTCTTTATGAAAAAAAAGTTAATTGCATATCTCACTGAGAACGATAATAAAACAGCATGAGAAATACTGGTTCTGAACTTCTAGTTCTGAGACATTTTATAATTGTTTTTTTTTTTTTTTAAATTCTGCTGTTGTATCCTATTTCTAAATAAAAGATATGTGTTCTGCTTGTCTATGGGTCTTTATCTTTACAGGATAAAAGTATTTGTTCCGATATTAAAATTAGACAGAATTCAGTCACTTGCAGTCTTGTAAATTTGGTCTACTTTCAAGCAGCCATTTTTGTCATTGTTGGTCTTTGACAGAAGGGGAGATCTAATCTGGTCAGATATAATAGTAAAAAAAATGAATAAAATATATTTTAATGTAATGTATTAGTTAAATATTTTTAACACAATATTACTATACACAATATTCTAAAGGCTTTCAAAAAACCTTGAGATTAACAGAGGCAGTTTTATTCTATTGAATTGACAGCTCTATTTTTTTGCTAGCAATAAAAATAAATAAATAAATAAATGTGTTCTTTTTTTATTTATGTTTGACAGGTTTATGTTTGAAAAAAGGAAAGAAAAGAAAAACACATGGTTATATTTCTCCCACTTAGTGTTTCTCTTCATTGGTATCTACTTTAGCTTTCTTTCAAATTTCGCTCATCAATATGAAATTTCCCTCGCCAGTTTAATAACATGCTGGTCAAACAAGGTCAATTTATTCCTGAGAGTATTAGAAAGATATCATCATACTTCCCCAGTCGATGGATTACATAAAGAACTGCAAACATGTTTTCTTAAGTGTTATGTTTTGGCATAATCTAATTAAATATGCACTAATTTGCATACATTTCCAAAATAGAAATCTGAACACAGGATAAAGCCTTACAAAGCGGATTTTGCATCTCTTTTTATCACTCCATAAATCAGAAAATACTGTCAACAGCCACGTTTTTAGGAATAAAATGTTGCATAAGGCAAATGATAAATGAACAAACCCTTCTATAAAATTATTTTATTTTATTAAGCTCAAGTTTAGCAGCTAAACCTTGCAGGAGAGGAGCTCTCAGTTAAAGTACGTATACATCGAGATGAACTGTCTGAACTCTCCTGCACTCTGTCCAAGAAGCAAAAGGCAGCATGTGCTGAACCTTCATGAACCCTTTGAAATGACAAACAACTGAAGAACACATTAAAATGTCAAATACTGGTAGGAGAAATTAAGACACCGTTGGTAAGATGTAACTAGGAA